TTAATCGGGCAAGCTGCTGAGAGATCATATTCTTACATAAGGGGGTGCAGGGTGCTTAGAGTATTTTGGGCAGGATTGATACAGACACAGTGCCCAGCAGCACGCGCATGCACACATGGCAGCGTAGCCGGCTCATTTTTGGCCAAGAGGCAGGCCAGCCGGCACATGGAGGTACGTTTTGTACGTGTCACTAGCCCAGCCGCCGGCCTTCTGGAGCTGCCAAGCTGAGGCATTCCTTCCGGCCATTGCAGTAGCCCCGCCGATCCTGAGGGAGTGACTGCCAACACCCGGACCTAGGGCTCTCGTCATCCAGTAGTTCACAGCCTTGGCTGTGAGATATTGCCCACTTCGGAATATGAACAGTGGTGACGTCGTTTGCGTTGCGTGACGGATAGCGAGGTACTTGCGCATTGCTTGGACAGGGCAGAGCTGGCTGCCGGGCCATGGCTGCAAGATGACTTGGCCCCCAGTGCCACGTTGGGAGGTCTTCGTTATCCCGAGTCGTATGCAGATCTGAGTCCCAGTGAGTGAGACTTCACACAGGGTCAGAGTGCGGCCATTCGAAGCGGAGCGGGGAGAGGCAGCAGTATCCTCGCTCACTCTGAGCAATCCCGCAAAGGCTGTCATGAAGGCGGCCCAGAGCATGCACCTGTCCGATTCGCAGTAGTGGGAGCGCTGGATCACGGTCAAGAGCTGCTGCAGGTCTGATTGGGTGATAGCCTGGCGTTGGCATTGTGTCGGTGCTGCTTGCTGGCGGTGCTGCCATCGCTGACGCTTCGCTCCCTTCAGGGGTGCTGGAACTCTATCGTGCTGAGTTATGTGTGACGGCCCACCATGTCAGAGGAGGTAATACCTCACGGCGGATACATATACTCGGATGGTTGCGCTAGATCTGTGATCGGATACGCAGTGGGTGATGAATGCCAGGAAGTCATTTACTGACGACCTACTCGGCTGGCATCCCAGTTGTGTACACAGCTTCAGATACACCCCAGTCCCTGGCGGGTGTGTGCGGGCAGAGCTTGAGGCTACTGAGTCCCTAATTAGGTCGCCGGCCTTGATCAGTAGCGTCTGACAGAGATGATGTGCTCTATTGAAGTAGTCTCTTTGTTGGTGTTGGGAAGCATGATGCGCCCATTGTTCTCCCCATAAAGAGAGCGCAATGGCAATTGGGTAGAGTTCCCGCCAGATAATGCTGCGAAATAGGCCATCCGACTGGTCTGCTGCCCATGTGCCATAGAACCGTGCTGTGTTGTAAAGCCCGCCGAAACCGACGCCAGGCGTGTCAGTGAAGAGCTGAAGGCTGGGGACTTGGGTCAACTGATGTCTCTGAATAGGGCAGTGGCATTCCATGGGAGCGCCGATTCGAGCAACTAGTATGATAGCTCTGCTCGGGACCGCTAGATGGCTCACAGCTGAGCCGGCAAATGACCCCGCATGGAGCCGGCAAATGACTCCACATGGAGCCGGCAAATGACTCCGCATGGAGCCGGCAAATGACTCCGCATGGAGCCGGCAAATGATTCCACATGGAGTCGGCAAATGACTCCGCATGGAGCCGCCAATGACTAGAGCCACCTAATGCTAAATATAAAGGTATGCATGACAGTTGAGACTTGAGAGCATAATTATATTCTCCTGGATTGTAAGAATACATTCTCGTGCCACATATATACTGGTACACACAGATTATAGACAGCAATAGCGACAGCACACAAATTGAAGGGTAGTTGGCCGCAGCCAGATGTGAACCGAATTACGAGTGAGGCATGAAAGCAAGCACTGAGAACAGAGTGTGTCTCAAACGGGAAAGGTGTGCATGCGGATAACAGAAACAGGCCATGATGCAGAACCACTTGGGACCGTCAGATTAATTTTCCTGGACCAAGCCAGCCGGGAAAAAACCCTCGCGCCGACGGACGCAGTAGTGAGGGAAAAAAACGGGTGTATAACCCCAATGGCGATTTGGCATCATGTAGGCATGGCAAGCACATATTGGCAAGAGATAAAGAACACGCCCGATGCCATATATGCAACCGAAACATGTTGAGCGAGAAATACGTCATGTGTGCGCCAGAAACGGGAGTTGAGGTAGCGGTTGGGAGGGTGGGGAGGAAAGTGTGTGGGAACAAATGTTCTACAAGTTGCACGCTCGAGAGTCAAAACAGCGATGACAATGCAAGAGACATGACTAGCGCATGCGAACGGGTCGGACCAGCTTCCGGGGCTGAAAGATGCATGATCAAGTGATGCCCACCCGATTTATTTGGCACGACACCAAGACATGCCCTCTTGCCCCAGGTGAGCATCCACACCATCAGTGTAGTCAAAAGCTGATCTAAGATTCTTGCTGAGGGTAGAATGCTTAACACCCTTAGGACGTGATGCTGGTATATCAACAGTTTGTTCAGGCAGTGTGTGCGTTGCATGCCTACAATGATGGACAACACTGCCCACGCTTTGGCCCAGGCCACTGTCTATAGACTCGACTCTCGCTTTTTCTGCTATGCTGGGGCCAGCACTACTGACCCATCCGAGTCGTTCTTGAGCCTGAAACGTTTGGCTGAGGGTTCAGCGGGCACTGCTGAGGGGCGCAGGAGCCTGAGGAGGAGTGCTAAATCTACGAACTCCCCTCGCAGCACTTTCTCCACCACTCTCTCGGCCACATGTGCAACACACAGGGGACGGGTGTGGGCATGTGGTGGAGGTGCATGACTTTACAGGCACGTCAGAGTCAAGCCTACCTAGTATCGGCCGAGTTCAGGTCTTGTGCGCAGGCGATCTCAGCATCCGGCTCACCAGTCATCCCCGGAAATGGCTTCTCGGATGGAGGAGAGGATTAGCTCGCTGATCTCCTGTTGCTGTTGTTTGAAAACGACTCATGGTAGGCTAGCGGTAGACACTAGTCGCACAACGCTGCAGAAAATTCGTACAACACTGCTGATATTGCAAACCGGTAGACACTAGTCGCACAACGCTGCAGAAAATTCGCACAACACTGCTGCTATTGCAAGCCAACTGCTGATATTGCAAGCCACGGTGCTAGAAAATTCGCACAACGCTTCTGATATTGCAAGCCAAGGTGCTCAAACAAATTTGTTTGAAAATTCGCACAACACTGCTGATATTGCAAGCCAAGGTGCTCAAACAAATTTGTTTGCATAGAAAGGTCTCGCTGCTGTTCGTTGCCAGCAAGGCTGCGAGTCCCACGCTTGCGCGTTTGCCATTTTCCCACTCTTGGACTTGGGGACGATGTACGATGACAGCCGGCGTTGCAGACTGCCTGCAAGGCGCTGGCCGCGAGTGCTTCTGTGGTATGATAACTTTGGTTTGCCCGTTCAAACCTACATTTATGTCATCAGGTGGTGAGCTGTAACGAAATTGCATGAGTTGCAGTTCATTCTTAAGTAATCACTCTTCTCCTTCGATCTTGTTCTAATTCTCTAAACGTACTGATGTTTTCACATCGTAGTTTTTCGACACATTCAAATAATTTAGCTATCATAATAATAATAATTATGTTTACTCGCTTTGAATCGCTGATCAGATCATGATCATGTGATCTGATCATGATCATGTGATCAGATCATGATCATGTGATCGGATCATGATCATGTGATCGGATCATGGTCATGTGATTAGATCATGATCATGTTATCTGATCATGATCATGTTATCTGATCATGATCATGTGATCAGATCATGATCATGTGATTCAACGAGTTGTTCTTACTCCATAGGTACTGCAGTGATGCAAATTCTCACACACAATCAACTATGATCAAACTAATCAAGCCACCCCTCTGCTTTTTTAAAGCCGCCGCTCTTCAATTTCAAAACCTCCTCTCTTTAATTTGAAAGTCACCTCTCTTTAATTTGAAAGCCACCTTTCTCCAATTTAAAAGCCACCACTCCTCTCCAATTTCAAGGTGACAATGTTGCTGAGACCGATTCTGTGCTGCAATGTTAAATTGGTAATTTCTTGCGGTGTGGTGTTGTTTCTAATTGCCTTTCTTCTGCTTTAGTTCGTCCATACATTCAATCTGGTCCTGTTAACAAGCTGGTGTTCCTTACACAGGCAGTGACGTTGCGTTGTGGTGGTGATGGATACCCGACACCATCGTTCCAGTGGTTCCACGCCGGCACCAACATAGCCATGTATGCCAGTCTGTATCCGAACATTCACTTTGTGGGAGCGTCCGGTCGTGACATCATCATCCAGCCCACTACCCTGCAGGTGGCTGGTTTGTACGTGTGCCGGGTGGTGAGCATACATGGCATGGCGCAGACGGAAGCCGCTCAGCTTACCGTGATCGGTGAGTGCTAGTATGTAGTATGTAGTACTGTACGAGCAGAAATATTCGTCTGGAATTTAATTTCGTCTTTTTCGTCCAAGGAGCTTTTGGACTAAATTAAATGTAGGACGAATATCGATTTGTCCAGCTTTTCTATACACTCTTATGATCCATGGACGAAATTTTCAACCGGACGAACTCCTTTTCTTTGGAGTTGGACGAAATTATTGACCGACGAAATTTTCTGCTTCTACAGTAGCTGGCCCCGGAGGCAATTGAACCTAGGAATCTATATCCACACAAGCTCTACAACATTTAAACTGTTAACTGTGACAAATATACTTTCTACCAAATAGTGCAACTCCTACAACTACAAACCGCAGAGGCGTACCAATCCCGCTAACTCCCATCTCAGTTTGTGTACAGAGCAACGCAGAATCTGTCTTTCCGACAAGCCTGCTCATGGTGTTCTGTCATGGATGTGTGTGTGTGTGTGTGTGTATGTGTACGTGTGTGTGTGTACATGTGTGTGTACATGTGTGTGTGTGTGTGTGTGTGTGTGTGTGTGTGTGTGTGTGTGTGTGTGTGTGTGTGTGTGTGTGTGTGTGTGCGTGTGTGTGTGTGTGTGTGTGCATGTACGTGTGTGTGCATGTACGTGTGTGTGTGCCGTGGTATATACGTGTTTGTTTGTGTTTCTGTACAGATGCTGTTCCAGCAAACAGTTCCGTTCACACTCCTCTGGTTGGCAGCACTCTAGTCCTGTCCTGCCCAGACAACAATAGTCCCTTTGAATGGTATGTACTAGTGAGAATGTTCAGTGCTGTCCAACAATACAGTAAAATCTGTAACTACAGTGCATTTCAAAACTATAGACGAGTAGGGTTTTTGAAATATTTCAAATTTGGCTGGACCTTTTTGAGAATAGTTTTCGGAATATTGCTCAGGATCGCTCCACAATTACTCTCATATAGTTTCTAAAGGATTGGATAACAGACGCCCAATTTGGAAAAATTTATGCACAAAGTGATCACAGATTTTATGTGGTATAGATGCTGGCATAACGGTTTTTGCCTAGGTACGCGTCTATAGTTTTGAAATGGACTGTAAATACCGCCGTGACTAGCGACCAGCCTGGTACTAAAGACCGCTTCGCTAGGCACGGACGATCTCACATTCATATATTATGGTTGTGCAGTGCAAACCTCTAACTAAGGACCACCTGCCACTAAAGACCGCTGTTGTAAACCACCAGTTCTCAATTGGGAAAGGCCTTCGCGCTTATGGCATTGTATTCGTTGAAATGTTGTATTTCGACTCCGCCGTACCGCTGATGTTGCTGCATGGCATACGCTATATGCGTTGTGTGCGTTTTGCTGTATACGCTGTTATGTCCAGTTTTATATGCTTATGTTTTGCATGTACGCTGTTTCTGCATGCTATAAATAGCTGGTGTTATTAGTGTTCATTGTTAATTATCAGATGAAGTGAAATATACTGTGTAAGGGAAAAGAGTTGTCCTCGTGCCGTGTGGTCGTACGATCCTGACAATTTAGAGAATCTTAGAGGGTTCATAACATTTGGCGACCACGCCAGGATAGGAGCGAGCATGGCAGAGCAACTACACAATTTGGAAGCCAGCTTTATCGACAATGGAGAGCGGTTAGGATTAGAAGGCGAGTTGTTGAAGGTACATGTGGAGCAGAGGCTCCAACAGTACCAAGAGCGTGAGGAGCGCAGTGCCAGACGGCGAGAGGAGGCGCTCCGCACCGAGTTTGACAAAACACTAAAGGAGATTAACGAGCGCATCGCCAATGCGTATGAGGGTGATGGTAAAGCCGCGATGGGAGGTACAGAGGAAGCTCCCAGTAACAGCGGGGGGCGTCAACCGTTGATGAAAATCCCCTCATATGATGGAACGCAGCCATTGGAGCGTTATCTTGACCTGTTCGAGGACATCTGCTCCAAGAACGAGTTCGAAGAAAGCGAATGGCTGCTGCGACTGCGCATCGCGCTAGCGGGTAGCAAAGCGGAGAGGATATGTATTGGATGCAATAATTACGAGGAAGCGAAGCGAGAGTTGCTCGCCTCGCTCGGAAAGACTCCGGATAAAGCGTGGAAGACATTGCTGACAGGCAAGCAGCGGTCAGATGAGTCGTTTCACCAATACGTTGTCCGTGTTTGCCGAGAAGTAGAAGTGTGGGCCACACTCGCTATGACAGAAGATGGCGAGGTGGACACCAAGTATAGCGCCGATATAGGTAAAATGTCCCCGGTGCTGCAAGCAATGGCAAAGCAGGTAATCTTGGAGCAATGCGGACCTGAGATGAAGACGTACCTGGTCGAACGGCAGTGCTACGGGATGTCACTGCGCCAGGTACAGGAGCACGGCGCGTCTTACCAGGTCGCGCACGGACGACAGGGTGATACTGCCAGGAAGCCAGTAGAACGATCCGTGCCAAGGCCCACGGCGTCGGCACAGTGCATGGCGATATCGGTCGCAGATGCAGAGAAGCAGCTTAAGTCGCTGCCACTGGAAGGGAGAAAGGGTTTTCTGCAGCGAGAGAGACTCTGCTGGAACTGCCTTAAGTATGGCCATATGGCCAGGGAATGTCGGTCAGGCTCGAGATGCACGAAATGCCAGAGGAAACACCACCTGCTAATACATGAGGTGTTGGATAGAGCAGGTTACAGCCGGGAGAAACCGACTGAGATAGTTACGGAGAAGAATGTTGGGTCGTGCTGTCTACACTCGCCAAGTGTGCGGCTGATGACCGGAGTGGCACGAGTTGAGGGAAGAACTCGAAACGCGAAGGTTCGCGTGTTCCTGGACTCGGGTGCTGAGGCGTCATTCGTGACTGCAGCGTTGGTGTCAGCAATCGATGCAGAACACGTTGGGGTTGAAAATGTAGAGGTGAAGCCGTTCGGCGCGGAACCAACCCAACAGCGCATGGATAAGTACGCCATCACGATCCAGGGTAGCTCCGCTAGCATTCGGGTACGCGCGTTCGTGAAACCAACGCTTGAGATGGACCTGAAGTGCGCAAGTCCGCAGACCATTGCCCAGTGGCACAGTTGGGGAGTAGAGCTGAGTGACAAGCCTCAACAAGGGACATCAGACGAAATACATATGCTGATTGGTGCAGACTATATCAACGCGGTACTGCACAGCAAGAAGGAAGTTAATGGTGAGACGGTGTGGAACACAGAGATAGGTAATGTATTATCTGGTCCAGCGTCTGCACCAAGTCGAAACAGTCAGCCGGTGACCGTATCATGTGTCACAGCCCACATTGAACAACTATGGCAGTTGGATGAACCTCCAGAACAACATCAGCACCTGCCATCTTTCCCGCTATGTCGCCAGGGCAGCGGGTACCAAGTGGGTCTCTTGTGGCGAAATGAGCGTCGCCCAACGGATAACTTTGCTCAAGCTAGAGTCATCGCAACGCGGCTTCTTGAAAAGCTGAAGAGGAATGGGAAGCGTGCGCTCTATGATGATGTGCTGATCAGGGAGTACCGCGAGCTTGGAGCAATTGAGCTGGAGCCATGTGAGAGCGATGCCGGGTACTATGTACCGCATCATGGTGTATTCCGCGAGCACGCTGCAACCACGAAGTTAAGAGTGGTGTTCAATGCCTCGGCGACGGCTCCAGATGGCAAGTCGTTGAACGACATGGTTGACCCTGGACCGTCGCTATTGCCGAGTCTCGCAGGTATGCTATTACGGTTCCGTGAATATAAGAGCGCGCTGCAAGCCGACATCCGCAAGGCTTTCTTCATGGTCGCGGTTAATCCCGAAGACCGTCCGTACCTGCGTTTCTTGTGGCCCGGTCGAAGCGACAGCGATGAACTGTTAACCTGGAGGCTAACGAAACTGCCATTTGGCGTAAACTGCTCGCCGTACATGCTTACTGCGGTGATTCAGCATCACTTGAAGGAGCTACGGGCGTTGTCTGCACCCAAAGAGCGAGATCGTATTGATCTCTTGCTCACGAGTTTCTACGTTGACGATTTGGTCTCTAGTGTGTCAAATGCCTCGGAAGCCAAGGAGATGCAAGAGTTCAGCGTGCGTGTGCTTACGGATGCTGGCATGGAGTTACGCAAGTGGCGAGGCAACGAAATCCCGTGCGATCCAGAGGCCGGAGATAAAGTCCTCGGTCTGAAATGGAAAACCAGTGATGACTTGCTCAGCGTAGCAGCGCTAGGCGAGTCCGATAGGCCGTCTGTTTGGACCCGGCGATCCCTCCTCAAGTGTGTTGCATCAGTGTTTGATCCGCTAGGTCTAGCAGCACCGGCAGTTGTGCCGGGAAAGATACTGCTGCAGCAAGCCTGGAAAGTCGGAGGCGACTGGGATGATATGTTGCCTGATGGCATCGCAGCCGCATGTGCGCAATGGTGGGGAGAGTTGGCCGAAGTGGTGAGCATTGACATACCACGTTGGATTTGCTGCAATCTTGACACGCCGATTGCGCTTCATGCCTTCGCCGATGCCAGTGAGAAAGCGTTTGGATGTTGTTTGTATGCAGTCGTCAATGGACAGTCGCACTTGGTATTTGCCAAGGCCAAAGTGTCACCTGTGTCTCCGCCCACGTTAGCCCGCCTTGACTTACAAGCAGTATGTTTAGCGGCTCGCTACGCTGAGTTTGTGGTGAAGGAGCTGCGTGTTACCGTCACGCAAGTCTATGGCTGGACTGACAGTCTCACTACCGTTCATTGGATCAGTAATCCATCGTACAAATGGAAAACATTTGTGGCTAACCGCGTCAGTCAAGTCCAAGAGATATCGAAGAAGGTCGGCATTGTGTGGAACCATTGCCCGGGCCTTCACAACCCAGCAGATTTACCGTCGCGTGGGAGTAGTGCACAGCAGATCCGTAGTCCGTTCTGGAGGGGCGGACCAACCTGGATCACGGAGCCCAATGACTGGCCCACCGCATCCTCAACCGCAGCTACAGATGAGTCCAGTGTAGAAGTACGAGTGTCAGCCACCACCTGTAGTCGAGAATCTGATAAGGAATGGTGGCTCCGATTCAGTAAATGGTCGAGGGCACAGGGCATGGTGACTCGGATGTTGCAGTGGAAGCACACTGAGCCTCGTGCTGAACTCTATTTTGCAGCAGACAACGTATTGTACCGCATCGTTCAAGCCGCATGTTTCGCTGAGGATCTTGAGCTGATCAAGCAAGGTCAACCAGTGAAGCCCGGGTCGAAGGTGTATCAGCTTGCACCGTTTCTGGATGAGCATGGAGTGCTCAGAGCCGGGGGACGACTTCAGCACAGCGAGTTGGCGTATGGAGCCAAGCACCCAGTCCTGTTAGGCAAACATCATCTGACCGATTTGCTGTTGGAGAAAATGCATGTTGAAAGGATGCACCAAGGTGTAGAAGGAGTCTTGTCGTTTATCCGTCAGAAATTCTGGATTATCGGTGGTCGACGAGCGCTACGCAACATTACTCAGCGATGTGTTACATGCCGCCGCTACAAGGCTAAGGCTGCCTCAGAAGTCTGCCCGCCGCTGCCAGAAGACCGAGTTGTTCACGAGAGGCCGTTCGCAACTACCGGCATCGACTATGCTGGTCCGTTGTACGTGCGCCGTGGTGAGTCATCTCCGAAGGTATGGATAGCATTGTTTGTGTGTGCCACCACCAGAGCAGTTCACTTGGAGGTGGTCGATAGTTTAAGTACCGAGTCATTCTTGATGGCATTTCGGAAGTTTGTCGCGAGACGTAGTTTGCCGTCTCGGATCAGGTCTGACAACGCTACAACGTTCAAGGCGGCATCTGACAAACTGAGTGTGCCATGGATGTTCAATCCTCCAGCTGCACCATGGCATGGAGGCTTCTATGAGCGAATGGTTGGTACAGTGAAGAGTGCCTTGAAAAAGGTAATGGGAACAGCGTTTCTGAAGGTTCAGGAGCTTGAGACCATCTTGTATGAGGTTGAAGCAGTGGTGAATAGTCGTCCGTTAACTTATGTGTCTGATAGCCTGGATGAGCCACCAGTAACCCCTGCAATGATGATGGGTAACATTTGGATGTCGTCAGCGAAGCCAGCAGGTACCCCGGACGCTACGCATATGTCAGCGAGATTGCGTTACCTCAGTCAGACACTGAAGCATGTCAAGAATCGTTGGGAGGTGGAGTACCTAAGTCAGCTGAACAAGCACCAACAGACCATGTCGCGCCCTTTAGCTGTGGGTGATGTTGTCTTTGTTCTCGATGATACCAAGCGCAAACAGTTCTGGCGTTTGGGACGGATCATCGAGTTATTCCCTGGTCGAGATGGCAAGCGTCGTGTTGCCAAGGTTAAGTTGAGTACCAGTACCCTGTTGAGGCCGATCCAAAGGTTAGTGCCATTAGAAGTATCGTCACAGGACGTGGCTCCTGGGCTTGCCGATACCGCTCAACCTGCTATCGTCCCTCAGCAGCCAGCGTATGAACCGCCAGCACCGTTACCACCACCACGGCAGCAGGAGATGACGCGTTCTGGGCGCGTAGTCAGAGCCCCGGATCGTTTTTGACTTGTGTGCATTGTTGTACGGCGGTGAGAAGCCCTTTGGTGGGGAGAATGTTGTAAACCACCAGTTCTCAATTGGGAAAGGCCTTCGCGCTTATGGCATTGTATTCGTTGAAATGTTGTATTTCGACTCCGCCGTACCGCTGATGTTGCTGCATGGCATACGCTATATGCGTTGTGTGCGTTTTGCTGTATACGCTGTTATGTCCAGTTTTATATGCTTATGTTTTGCATGTACGCTGTTTCTGCATGCTATAAATAGCTGGTGTTATTAGTGTTCATTGTTAATTATCAGATGAAGTGAAATATACTGTGTAAGGGAAAAGAGTTGTCCTCGTGCCGTGTGGTCGTACGATCCTGACAATTTAGAGAATCTTAGAGGGTTCATAACAACCGCTTTCTCTGGCCCCAAGCCAGGGGTGGTCGTTAGTCACAGATGTTACTGTAGTTTTTTTTTTTTTTTTTTTTTTTTTTTTTTTTTTTTTTTTATTGGGAACACAGCCCTACAAAGAGACATGTGGAGACAAACACAAGACAAGACACAGGGGATGTAGGGACGACGTGCCGATGTACAGGGAGCAACTCGACCGACCAGGGGTCTCGGCGTTAGCGTTGCAACCTGGCATCGAAAAAAAAGGGGGGGGTTGCATGGTCAGGTAGCAAAAATAATAATTTGGTGCGAGAAAGGGGCGCTAGTATTGCACCAAATAATATAAATTAATACGTGTAATGACTAAACCAGAAGGGAAAATGAAGAAAGAGGACAATAATCATAACAAGCAAGTAGTAGTAGAGAGGTAAATACTAAATGGGTCTCAAATCTCAATATCATCGTCACAGGTACTGTATGTCAACATTTCTTACGTTCTGAGTTGGGAGGGAGGGCTTGGGTCCAAACTTAAATAATTCCTTTGGTGGAAAAAGTTCGATATTCATCGACGGCCCCTTTAATACCGGCTTACCGGTATGCATCTCCGCTCTTTTCTCCTACCCTACTACATATGCAGAAATATTCGTCTGGAAATTAATTTCGTCTTTTTCGTCCCGAGGAGCTTTTGGACTAAATGAAATGCTGGACTGATGTCGATTTGTCCAGCTTTTCAATACACTCTTGTGATCCATGGACGAAATTTACAACCGGACAAACTCCCTTTCTTTGGAGTTGGACGGAGTTATCGACCGACGAAATGTTCTGCCTGTACAGTATCCGGGACTAAATGGGATTGAATAATTAGCAACTGAGTGCTTTTCCTGAATCCGTAAAATGACGGTAAATCCCCGTCTGTGTTGAAGTCTGTTCGATGGAAGGTGTTTGTGTCTACCTGCACACAGTATCCACACATGCGCTTGCGGTTACACGCTCACAATGTACTGTATAGCAGGAAATTTTCGGACGGAAATTCGGACAATGCCGAATTTCGACCTTTCGTACGGATTATATTTTCGTACAGTGCTGCATGCTAAATGCACGTGTTCGCATGCGGTACGCATGTATAGTGCACATAACTTCACAGGAACGAATTTTAGTACGGAATTAATTTTAGTACAAAAGAGGCCGTGTACGAAATCGTACGAAAATAAATTCCGTCCGAAAATTTAGTGCTATACAGTATATAAGTAAAGACAAGAGTAGATAAACAAGAGTGTGCAACTCGCGGATGGGTTGGCCCACGGCGGAATTTTTTGTTG